AAAAAAAAAAAAAGAACTAAAAGCTTTAAAGATTTTCTTTATATAGTACAGGCTAGACTTGCATGTTTCCAAGCAAACATGGATCATGATAGGGTCTCTAAGACATTAAGAGGGTTCAAAAACGTCTTAGATACCATTCTCCCTTTATACTGTCACTGTGTAATAGTCATAACAGAATTACATTCTCAACTGCAGCAGCTACCTCATGTCAGCTGCAACTACTGCTCTACTTTAAATGTTTAAAATCTTTTTACAAATCTTCATTTTAAAATTTCCATTCAAATGTGTTTTAACATTGTCAATAACAGGAAGAATATATGTAAAAATACAAAATAAGACACTGTTCTTTACTTGCTTTCATAAACATTTTCCACAAATACAGTCCCTCCTCTCTGGATATATGCTGTTAAAATGTGTCTTGGCTGGGCCCGATGGCTCATGCCTGTAATCCCAGCACTTTGAGAGGCCAGGGCAGGCAGATCACCTGAGGTCAGGAGTTCGAGACCAGCCTGGCCAACACGGTGAAACCCTGTCTCTACTAAAAATACAAAAAATTAGCCAGCTGTGGTGGTGTGTGCCTTTAATCACAGCTATTCAGGAGGCTGAGACAGGAGAATCGCTTGAACCTGGGAGGCGAAAGTTGCAGTGAGCCGAGATCACGCCACTGCACTCCAGCCTGGACATGAAGAGCAAAACTCCGTCTCAAAACAAAACAAAACAAGTGTCTCTTGTTTTGAAATAGACTGGATCTGGATCTTAATTTCAGACAGAATTTTAGAGCTCAGAACACAGAGTTAGATCCACCAGTCAAGTCTCTTCATTTCATCAAGGCTGGGACTAGAATTGAGCTTTCCTGAGTCCCAGTTCAGAGTTCCTTCCCCTTCAGTAAGTTCCAATCAACAAAAAATAAGCATCAGATGATTCTTCCTTCCCCTGTTCCCTCCTTGCCAAAATAAATGCTTCAACATACCTGCTGGCAATACGTGTCAAAAAACTTAAATGCATATTTGTATAGGAGACTGCCAAATGAAATTATACTCTGGTCTAGAGAGTGAAGCAAACTCTGAGCCAGCGACAGAATGGATGAACACATATCCTTAAGAACCTTGAGTGGGGAAGAGTACAGAGAGAAAAGGAGCTATAAAAAGCAGTCAGTACACAAGCTAAGAGTTGCTTATCCTTTTGGAATGTCAGACTTCTCCTCTCTAACTCTCATTTTAACTTGAGAAATCTTAATCTTTGCTTTACACAAAAATAATCCTTCACCATTCCGAGATTACTCTCAGCATCAATGGGATTCCACGTTTGGATAATAATTGACCTTTAAGCTCAAAGAAGTTAAATTATAAGCCTAATAGTACGTTCCTATCTGCTCAATTTGGGATTGGAGGCCAGCTCTTCTAAATTCCAGTTTCCCCATGCAATCACACTACCCCCCCAGGGATGTTCCACCTTGCTTATAATTTGAAGTTGGTCTATAAGGTTCAATGCTAACTAAACTGATTTTTTTTAAAAGAAGATCAAGAAGAGAGGTGATCATACCCTACCAATAATGCAATATACATAGACATTAATAGACCCAGACTAACTAGTTAATAAACATAGCTTCTTTATTGATACCATAAGTTTTAAAAATCTTACACTCAGCTGGGTATAACGCTTTATTGGGGAAAATACAATGAAAAATTACATATAGTTTCTGTGTCTAGAAAATTATAGCCCAAAACATATACAACTGGCAGAAATAAACACAGAAAGAACTGCAAGATAAAATAATACAACTGCTAAATCTATACCTAAATGTAAAATTTAAGACCCAATGAGGTATTCTCATGAGCTCCTAACCCAAACCCCAAACGACTGGCCCATCCAGTTTTCTAAGTTCTATACTGTTAATACCCTGAATGTTCAGCTGGCAAAACACTATTCCCAGCTTATAAAATTCCACTTTGAATAATTTACATTTCCAGAGGAATTATCACCTAAATTCCACAGTTTTGAATGGCCAAAGAGTGATAGTTCAAATAGGTTCATATTTACGTTTCTACTAGTTTCTACAGGCTGGTCCTTTACCCCTCAAGGTTTCTGTAAGCTACTTAAATAGGATACGGACGGTCAGTTTGTCAAAGTTGCAAACTGCATTGAGATAGACAAGTAAAATAATTAATGCAAAAATAAAATTCAAAAATCTCAATGGGTTTGAACAATGGACTGAAACAAGATGAAATTTTACATGGGAGCTGTAAAGCTTTCCGTTTTAGATTAAAGATCAATAGTCTCTGACACTTACTAAGTAATGAACAGAGAATGTACTCTGGAGCAGTTGTTCTTGAATGCAGCCTGATCGAATCTTATTTCTTAGCACCCTTTCAATGTACTTCTTTGTCTGAGTATTGGTGCTATAGATGATGAAAAGCATCACCAGGTCAAACACCTATTGTCAATAAATAGGCAATAATAGAAAAACAGTTAACAAATCAGTACATTCGCTACAATTAAACAGCAGCTTTTCCCCGTTAAAACACAGAATGGATAATGCTCATTTGTTCCACACACTCCCCTGGGAGTATCTACACTTTTCACAAAACCCAGAAATATTTTTCAGAGAAATAAAGTGCCACAACTATTAACCACTAGTACCTCTTAAGAATACAGAGCAGCCGGGCGCGGTGGCTCACACCTGTAATCCCAGCTCTCACGGAGGCAGAGGTGAGAGGATAGCTTGAGCCCAGGAGTTCGAGACCTGCCTGGGTAATATAGCGAGACCCCGTTCTCCACAAAAAGGAAACAAACAAAAAAAAAAATACAAGAATACAGAGCAGGCCGGGCATGGTGGCTCATGCCTGTAATCCCAGCACTTTGGGAGGCTGAGGTGGGCAGATTACCTGAGGGTTCTCCACAAAAAGGAAACAAACAAAAAAAAAAATACAAGAATACAGAGCAGGCCGGGCATGGTGGCTCATGCCTGTAATCCCAGCACTTTGGGAGGCCAAGGCAGGCGGATCACAAGGTCAGGAGATCGAGACCATCCTGGCTAATACGGTGAAACCCTGTCTCTACTAAAAGATCACGCCACTGCACTCCAGCCTGGGTGACAGAGTGAGACTCTGTCTCAAAAACAAAAAAACAAAAACAAACAAAAGAATACAGAGCAATATACATGAAAGTGATATTATTACAGATGTAACTCTGAACATTTTGACATTAAAAGAAAGATTCAATCACTTGCCAACTCCAGTGTGTATTTGTTGCCAACTACAGTATGTATTTTCACTATTATTAGGAAAATTACTAGGCCAGGCGAGGTGGCTTACGCCTGTAATCCCAGCAATTTGGGAGGCCGAGACAGGTGGATCATGAGGTCAGGAGTTCAAGACCAGCCTGGCCAAGATGCTGAAACTCCGTCTCCACTAAAAATACAAAACTTAGCCGGGCAAGGTGGCACGCACCTGTAATCCCAGCTAGTTGGGAAGCTGAGGCAGGAGAATTGCTTGAACCCGGGTACCAGAGGTTGCAGTGAGCCAAGATCGAGCCACTGCATTGGAGCCTGGGTGACAGAGCAAGACTTTGTCTCAAAAAAAAAAAAAAAAAAAAAAGAAAATTACTTTGTAAAAGTTGGAAAGACTATAGATGCCCATCAATACGGGAAAGGTTCAATAAATTATGATAGAGTTATTTTAATTTTTGGAATATTACACAGTCATCAAAAAGAATAAGCCATGCAGGGTGTGGTGGCTCATGCCTGTAATCCCAGCACTTTGGGAGGCTGAGGTGGGCAGATTACCTGAGGTCAGGAGTTTGAGACTAGCCTGGCCAACATGGTGAAGCCCCATCTCTACCAAAAATACTCACAAAAAAATTAGTCAGTCATGGTGGCAGGTGCCTGTAATCCCAGCTACTCGGGAAGCTGTGGCAAGTGAATCACTTATACCTGGGAGGTGGAGGTTACAGTGAGCCAAGATTATGCCATTGCACTCCAGCCTAAGTGACAGAGCAAAGCTCTATCTAAAAAAAAAAACATTTTAATTAAAAAATTAACAAACAAACAAAAAGAATAAGCTAGACCAGGGGTCCGCAACCCCTGGACCACAGAGTCTGTGGTCTGCTAGGAACCAAGCTGCACAGCAGGAGGTGAGGGGCGGTCAAGTGGGCATTACCACCTGAGATCCTTCTCCTGTCAGAATAGTGGCAGCATTAGATTCTCATGGGAGTGTGAACCCTATTGTGAACTGCACATGCACAGGATCTAGGCTGCACATTCCTTATGAGAATCTAAGTAGTGCCTGATGATCTAAGGTGGAACTGTTTCATCCTGTTCATGAACTGTTCATGCCCTGACACGATTTCATGATTTCATGGATGTGGAAAAACTCTCTTCCATGAAACCAGTCCCTGGTGCCAAAAAGGTTAGGGACTGCTGAGCCATACTATATTTTTTGACAGAGAAAAGACATTCCTGATATGAAGTGGAAAAAACAGCAACCTGCAAAAGGATAATCAGGCTGGGCATGGTGGTTCATGCCTATAATCCCACTGTTTTGGGAGGCTGAGGAGGGAGGCTCACTTGAGCCCAGGAGGTGGAGGCAACAGTGAGCTATGATTATGCCACTGCACTCCAGCCTGGTGACAGAGTGAGACCCTGTCTCTTTAAACACCACCACCACCACCCATAATCATAGTTAAGATTCTGCTTTTGTAAAAACAATATATAAACATATATATGTGTAGGTATAAGAGTACACCTGTACTTCCACGCAATTACAACTTGTATATGAAGAGAAAAAATTTAGGATGATTATCCCTGAGGAATGGGACAGAGAGTGGAGAAAAACTGTATTTTTTTACATCTGCAGTTTCCTTGTGGGTTTTTCTCCACAATTAGCTTGTTTACCTAAGTTTAAAAAAGAAAAATTTGAGGGCTGGGAGCAGTGGCTCATGCCTATAATCCCAGCACTTTGGGAGGCCCAAGCAGGAGGATCACTTGAAGCTAAAAAGTTGAGACCATGCCGGGTGCAGTGGCTCACGCCTGTAATCCCAGCACTTTGGCAGGCTGAAGCAGGCAGATCATGAGGTCAGGAGGTCAAGACCATCCTGGCTAACACGGTGAAACTCTGTCTCTACTAAAAATACAAAAAAAAAAAAAAATTAGCCAGGCGAGGTGGCAGGCACCTGTAGTCCCAGCTACTCAGGAGGCTGAGGCAGGAGAATGGCACGAACCCGGGAGGCAGAGCTTGCAGTAAGCCGAGATCACGCCACTGCACTCCAGCCTGGGCGACAGAATGAGACTCCGTCTCAAAAAAAAAAAAAAAATTTCAGACCAGTCTGGGCAACACAGCAAGACCTCATCTATATAAAAAATAAAAAAATTGCCCTGGCATGGTGGGTCATACCTGTAATCCCAGCACTTTGGGAGGTTGAGGTGGGCAGATCACCTGAGGTCAGGAGTTTGAGACCAGCCTGGCCAACATGGTGAAATCCCGTCTCTACTAAAAATGCAAAAATTAGCTGGGCGTGGTGGCGGGCACCTATAATCCCAGCTACTAGGGAGGCTGAGGCAGGAGAACTGCTTAAACCCAGGGGGCGGAGGTTGTAGTGAGCTGACATTGTGCCACATCACTCTAGCCTGGGCAAAAGAGCAAAACACCAACTCAAAAAAAAAATAAAAATAAAAATAATAAATAAATAAATAAAACAATTAGCCAGGCCTGGTGGTGCTTGCCTGTAGTCCCAGCTACTCCGAAGACTGAGGTGGGAGGATCACTTGAACCCAGGAGTTTGAGGCTGCAGTGAGCTATGATGCTACCACTGCACTCCAGCTTGGGTGACAGAGCAAGACTTAGTCTCTTGAAAAACAAAACAAGACCAAAAAAGAGAAAACATTGGGAGTGTATTCAGGGCAACTTGAGTCTATGCTTCCAGGGAAAAAAAAAAAAAAAACAGTTAAAAAGGAAAGCAGGACAAACAAGAAAAAACAAAACAAATTTTACTGCTTCTCTTAACTGATTGTCCCACTCCTGAGGACACCAAAATTGAGAGTTATTAGACCAGAATACAGTCATTAAAGATAATAATGAAGACAAAGCGGACACTTCAAATATTTATGACAGGAGAAAAAATGTAAAGAAAAAAATAAGAATAGAAATTATATTTATACAATGATTACAAATATGTAAAAATAGGAATGCAGGCAGCCACGGTGGTAAATTTATGTTTATCCAAAACCAGAAACAGTGTGTTGGAGTACTTTGATACTTTTCACCAGAAAAAATTCTGAATTTTCATTGCTTTATTTGGCATCATGAAAGTTTTTAAGATAGTCATCCAAAAATTGGCTAACACAACTAACAAAAATCCCACAAAACAGATTCCAACCAAAGAAAAATCTTTAAAGGCAACCAATCAAAACCTAAGGAACTCAATCATCTGGCTTTTTTTTTTTTTGAAATGGAGTCTTGCACTGTTGCCCAGGCTGGAGTGCAGTGGTGCGTGACACCAGGCCAGGCTAATTTTTTTATTTTTTAATTTTCTTTTAGAGACAGGGTTTCGCTACATTGGCCAGGCTGGTCTCAAACTCCTGACCTCAGATGATCTGCCTCCCGAAGTACTGGGATTATAAATGTGAGCCACAGCACCCAGCCAACCATCTGGCTTTCTGATGGAAGGTACTTCTAGATTAGAGATGTAAGATCCAGTACCACTGCCTTGACAGTAGACAGACTGATTTACTCCAGTCAGGTCTACATGGGCAAAGTAAAATAAAACATGGAATGCCATTACCTTGACAGTGGTGCTGGGTGGAAGGAAGGGCAATTAGGCAGATACAGGGACCTGAGACTCAGGTGGTTATTTTCTTCATCTCATCGGTGGGGACTTGGCTTCTTTGACTGCATCTTGATATGCTTGGTTACACTGTTAGTATTTCCCCTTATGGATACTGTAGGCTTATTTTATAGCCAGAGTGAGTAGGGGCAGGCTATCTGGCCAGTCGCCCCCTCAGATTATCTTCCCCAGACAGCTAATGTTTATTAGAGCAACTAGAGAAGAGAAAAAAAGAGTGACTAGAGGGAGGGGAAAGAAAGAAAGCGGGAAGGCAAGCTAGCCAATGTCATTACTTTTAAGTCTGCAATACTGAAAATGCATAGTACATGAACATTACCTTGTGTTCAGACACTGAGGCAGTGTTTTCAATTGCCTGAAAAAACAGGAGAGTCACAAAAATATTACGACACATCAGCGAAACATATTTCACCTTACTCAGCAAGCCCTGTTATGTCATCCAAGAGCCAATGTGTCCATATGGCAGCCATCAGCTATCATTTCCACTTGAATGACTTTTGAGATTTTTATTTCAAGCTATCTCAGTTATACATCTGTCACTAATTGCCACTCATTTCCTCCTTGATAATCAAAGTTCCAAAGATCTCACCTTAATCCAGGCTTCTGAAATGGTTTTCTCATATCTAATAGCTGACTTTATTACATCAAAGAGGAGAATAATACAGCTCTGATCGCTGCTTTCTTGATTTCCTGAGGAACTACAAGTAGCAGAGAGGAAACAAATTACTGTTCTACCTACCAGAAAAGAACTTACAAGATCTGAGTTCCTGCTTAGTAGCCATGTACACTGAAGCAAATGACAACCTCACATATAAGATGGCTAATAAACTTGCACTGTAGTCTGTCTGGAATTGATCTGAATCGCTAAGAAAACATATAAACGCATACATAATCACATACATATATGTAATTTGAAACACTATACAATACTAGATGTAAATGTCATAATAGTACCATTATTTGTAGTTGTAAGTATTAAGCTCCATTTTTTTTTTTTGAGACGGAGTCTTGCTCTGTCGCCCAGGCTGGAGTGCAGTGGCCAGATTTCAGCTCACTGCAAGCTCCGCCTCCCGGGTTTACGCCATTCTCCTGCCTCAGCCTCCTGAGTAGCTGGGACTACAGGCGCCCGCCGTCACCCAGCTAGTTTTTTGTATTTTTTAGTAGAGACAGGGTTTCACCGTGTTAGCCAGGATGGTCTCAATCTCCTGACCTCGTGATCCGCCTGTCTCGGCCTCCCAAAGTGCTGGGATTATAGGTGTGAACCACCGTGCCCAGCCTGTAGTTGTAAGTATTAAGCTCTAACTCTGACTGTGGGATGTCAGAAAATTGTGACAGCCTATGTGAGGATGAGTTCTTTACCTTGCTCGTCCTTTACTTTTCAACTTTACTTGGGAAGCCTGTAACCGTGATGGCAAAACACAATGTTGCAGATCCAACTTCTCCCGAAGCTCAGAAATTACCTGCAGAAAATAAAATATTAACTATGGTTTTCTGCTTATTCATAATGGATACCCACAGTCCAGTCTCTCAACCATGACAATCTCCTGAAAGACTGAGGAAGAAAAAATTTTAAATGTTGGACATTTTGAAAAATAGAGTTGTGAGAATAGTTAATGCAATGTCATAGAGCGTCATACCCAAAATTTCAGAATTCTGTGAGGTACTACACAGAAAGAGTAAATGTAACTTATAGCAGCTTATACAGAATAATGAATCTGTTGAATAGCTCCATTCTCTCCTCTGAATGCTATGCGGATTAGTCAGTATTCTCAGTCTGGGGACAGAGAAGAGCAATTGGCACTTATTAACTTAAGTTGCTTTATCTAGGTATGACGGGATATAAGAGCATACCTCAAGTGCATCCATGGCTGTTATGGAATGAAGAATGAACTTTATTATCACAGGTAAATCCTCCAATCTAATAGATGACAACTTATCCATCACCAACTGGCGAACCTAAAAATTAAAAGCACAAAAACTTAGTAAGTTTTAATGTCACTACCTCAACTTTGTACTGAACTGTTAGGTAACATTAGAAAAAAATCACTTCTCTTACTCCATTTTCCCACTTATAATTTAGGGGAAAAAAATTTTAGATGTTTCCTCAAATTAGAATCTTTTAGTTGTTAATACCACAGCTTCGTCAAAAACAGATGGGCAATAAATGTGAAACAGAGCTATTATCTTACATTCAGAGCCTAAATTCTCAACTGGCTACAGTAAGGCATAAAAAGTATTATTCCTATGGGAAGCAGGTATGATTCAGACAATACAGATTTCCACTCAAAACTTACTGCTTAAAAACAGACCTGTGGGCCGGCACAGTGGCTCAAGCCTGTAATCCCAGCACTTCGGGAGGCCGAGGTGGGTGGAAAACAAGATCCAGAGTTCAAGACCAGCCTGGACAATATGGTGAAACCCAGTCTCTACTAAAATTACAAAAATTAGCCGGGCGTGGTGGCAGGCACCTGTAATCCCAGCTACTCGGGAGGCCGAGTCAGGGAACTGCTTGAAACTGGGAGGCAGAGGTTGCAGTGAGCGGAGATCGCGCCGCTGCACTCCAGCCTGGGCGACAGAGCAAGACTCCGTCTCAAAAACAAACAAAACAAAAACAAAAACAAAAAAAACAACAGACCTGTGATTCTATCACAGAATAGCATCTGAAACTCATTGAGGTGGGGAAAAAAAAATATCAAATGTGATTCACTATGGTTTCAAAATGATATATTCATTATTCCCAAGGCAATGACTGAGTAACACTTGTTCTGGGAGGTTGGAAAGCTGGCTCAGTTTCTGGAAAGCTGAGTCTTTCCTACCTTCAACAGGAAGTTTGGATCAAGTCGGAGGCTGGAAAGGACATCCAAAATTGGGACAGTGAGTGAAGTATTCTCTATCAGTAGATCACTGTGAATGGTAGAAAAACAAAAAAGTTGTATAATGGTTTGAACAGAGCTGGGCAGACAATGACTTGAGAAAATCATTCATTACAGTATGGAAAGAAAGGACATACTTAGTTGCCATTAAATTACCATTCATAGTATGTTTCTTTAAAAATTGTTTTGACTGCAAAAAATAATACATGCTCATTATAAAAATTCAAATAATAAAAGTAGAAACAAGCCTTCCATCACAATCCCCACTACCCAGAGAACACCACTATTTAGTTTGGTACATATCCTTCCCCGCAAAAAGGAAAAAGAAAACACAAAACATTTAAAATGAAATGTGATAAGTATGAGAGACACGTGTGCATGGTGCTACAGGAGCACAACGCAGTGAGGGCAGTAATAGATTTTTTTTTTTTTTTTTTTGCTTTTTGAGACAGGGTCTTACTCTGATGCCCAGGCTCGAGTACAGTGGCGTGATCACAGTTCACTGTAGCTTCGACCTTCCATTCTCAATTGATCCTCCCATCTCAGCCTCCTGAGTAGCTAGAATTACAGGTCGTACCACCACACCCAGCTAATTTTTGTATTTTTTGGAGAGACAGCTTTTTGCCCAAGCTGGTCTTGAACTCCTGGGCTCAAGCGACCCACCCACCTCAGTGGCCCAACATGCTGGGATTATAAGGCATGAAGCAGCAGTTGATTAGATGCTAAAAGAAGACTATACAGGCCGGGCGCGGTGGCTCAAGCCTGTGAATCCCAGCACTGTTTTGGAGCGCGAGGCGGGGTGGGAATCACGAGGTTCATGGAGATTCGAGACCAATCCTGGCTCTAACATGGGTGAAACCCGTCTTGCTACTAAAAATACAAAAAACTAGCGGGCGTGGTGGGGGCGCCTTGATAGTCCCAGAACTCGAGCTAGAGGGAGTGATGAAGATATATTGGCGTGAACCTGGGAGGCGGGAGCTTGCATGAGCCGGACGATCACGCCACTGCACTCCAGTCTGGTGGAACACCGCGAGACTCCGTCTCAAAAAAAAAAAAAAAAAAAGAAGACTATACAAAAGGAGATGAGCTGCATCAGGCAGGTAAAGTGGGTGCATAGTGCTTTGCCACAGGGAGCACCTGCCCCAAAAGGACAAAGGCAAAAATCATGGATGTTTTGGAGGTAGCTGTGCACACAACTACACAAAAGGAAGTATCAACAAACTGATTTTTAATTTAAAACGCTTTCTAGTACAATAAAAAGTTGCATTATGATGGAAATTTATTACCTAGGGATATTGTTCACCCCTTCTTCAATACTGCGCCTACCAATTACTATTTTAATATGAATGACAGCAAGCAATGGTCTCTTGCAAGGGGTCTGATGCAAGGGTTGTGCATTAGAATGAATCACCTAGGAACCCAAAGAAGGGTAGATGTTTAATAGGCTCCACAAATGATTTTAATGTGCAGTCGCAGGGTTAAGGACGCCTGAAGAAGACGTTAATGATGAACTAAGGGATCATGGTCAACTTCTCCATTGGCCAAATTTAGATACTAATCCTAAGCCAGACTTCACGGTCATACCAGGTATACCATTTAAAAGAAAGTATGTGGGCCGGGCACAGTAGCTCACACTTGTAATCCCAGCACTTTGGGAGGCCTGAGGCAGGTGGATCACAAGGTTAGGGTATTGAGACTATCCAGGCTAACATGATGAAACCTCCGTCTCTACTAAAAATACAAAAAAATTAGCCGGGCGTGTGGCAGTGCGCCTGTAGTCCCAGCTACTCGAGGCTGAGGCAGGAGAATAGCGTGAACCCAGGATGGGAGGTTGCAATGAGCTAGATCGCACCCACTGCACTCCAGCCTGGGTGACAAAGCAAGACTCTGTCTTAAAAAAAGAAGAAAAAGTACGTGGACCTATTCAAATATATACCTTTTTTTTTTAAAAGTTCAAATCCCATACCCTACTCATGAAGGTGGGTATCATCTTCTTTTTAGATATAAGAGACCACATTACTATTGCTTTTTGAATACTGCAATGATAAAGTCCCCACAGTCGAGCCTCACTTAGATGGTGACAGAGTGCTTATCCACCTGAGTTCTTTCCCCACATCAGTGTGCTGGGAATCCCCTAGGATCTCAGGTAGGCTGGTGATGATGTCATGCTGCAGATTCTCTGGAGCAATACTGATCAGCTGCATGATCTTGGCGGTGAGGTCCTGCAGTAGAGGACACTATTAGAACTGCAGTACATTACCCAGAATAAAGAAACACTACCTACTTGTGAAATGCAGAGCTGAAATTATTTGAGAGATAAACATAGTTATTTATCTCTGTACTTTGAAAAACAATCTTCCCAAATATTTAATTTATTTAATAAATGATACCTACTCTTCGTATTTAAACTTTTCTGATGAAATTAAAAGGTGAAATATCTATGATTCTCAAATGATGAAAATTAGAAAAAGCTAATGGATGGATGGATGGATGGAAAAGTATGAATTTTCTGTTTAGAAAGAGAAAAAAAAATACAACTTCCAAAAGATATGAGAAACATACTCTTTAAATTCAAGAGACAAAGTCCGTAAGCCTACCTTGCCATCTACAACTCTGTCAAGCCACTTTAGTTGACTGACAATGAGTCGAGGTATGTTGATTTCATCACTGTTCTTGCTAAAATATTAGGAAGAGAAGACAGGGAACTTAGCCTTCCTGGCCAAAATAACAGCAAGCATTAATACTGCACAAAATATTTTAGCCATTCCATTAACATTTACTGAATACCTACTATGAATTTGGCACTGCACTAGACACACAAGTGATACCCAATATGCAGGAGATATATGCTTATGTATGTTGAGAAAAATGTCTAGAAAGTATGCTAAATATGAACAGTGGCTACATCCAGGGAGGGTTTAGAGAAAAGGGATGACAGGGCTAGACAGCATCTCTTAATAATGATTTTTAAAAAGATAACGTTAATAAATCTTAAAAACCAAATATGACAAATATTTTTAAAAGGTAAGACACTAATAACATCAACGCAGTAAGTGCTTAAAAAGGCAAGCATAAGTTGGGTGCGGTGGCTCATGCCTGTAATCTCAACACTTTGGGAGGCCAAGGTGGGCAGATCACATGAGGCCAGGAGTTCAAGGCCAGCCTGGCCAACATGGTGAAACCTCGTCTCTACTAAAAATACAAAAAATCAGCTGGGCATGATGGTGGGTCTGTTATCCCCAGCTACTCGGGGGCGGAGGGCTGAGGGCAGGAGAACTCGCGCTGCACCCTCAGGAGGCGGGAGGTTGACGTGAGCTGTGAGAATCGGTGCACTGCACTCCACAGCCTGGGTGACAGCAGCAGCTCTGTCTCGGAAAAAAAAAAAAAAAAAAGACAAGCATCATAGACCAGCTACAGGCCGCACAAGTCACATAGATTCTTCCTAAAACAACACAACAATTCTCATACAAAGACCTTTCTCATCTCTTTTCCACTCATCGCTTCTCTCTTTCTTTTTCACTCTCCAAAGTGGACCTTTTCTTGCAGCCTCGCGTTGTTTTTGCCTCTGCTCCAGTGGGCTCAGTGGCAAGACATTATCACCTCTCCGCGCCGTAATCCAGCCTTGCGGCGGCTGAGGCAGGCAGATCTTGCAGGTCAGGAAGTTCAAGGACGCCTGGCAACTGGGAAACCTCCTACTAAAACAAACTATTAAAAAACTTAGCTGGGGTAATGTGTGCACACTGTAATCAGCTACTCGCGGGGGCTGAGGTCAGGAGAACACTTGAACCAGGAGGCGCAGAGTGTGTAAGTCGAGCAAGATCGTACCACGTAACTCCAGCCTGGCAACAGAGTGCAAGCGACTCGTATCTCAAATATAAATAAACCTTTAAACTTATTCTGTATCAGTGCTCATGAAAAAATTAAAAAAGGAGAACATGAACTAATGACTAGTAATCGCCTGTCATTCCAGGAAATGTACGCACTATTAACACGCATGATGTATACATGCTGTTTCTTTTTTTCCTTTCTTTTTTTTTTTTGAGCACGGATCTCACCGCGGTGTCACCCAGGCTGGAGTGGCAGTGGCGCAATCTCGGCTCCTGCAAAGCTCGCCTCCCAGTTCGCATTCTCCTGCCTCAGCTCAGAGTAGCTGGGACTACAGGCGCCCCCACCCACCTCGGCTAGTTTTTTGTATTTTTAGTAAGACGGGGTTTTTCACCATGGTTAGCCAGGATGGTCTCGATATCCGCTGACCTCGTGACCACCGCCTCGGCCTCCCAAAGTGGCTTGGGATTACAGGCATGACCCCGCGGTCCGTGTATCTTCTTCTTTTTTAAAACAAAATACTGGACTGCACAATTATTGCAAAAAACCGGCAATTTTTTTTTTTTTTTTTTGAGCAAGACTCGCTCTGTCGCCCTGGGCTGGCGTGCAGTGGCCGATCTTCAAGCTCACTGCAAGCTCCGCCTCCCAGGTTCACCCATTCTCCTGCCTCAGCCTCCGAGCTAGCTGGGAACTACAGGGCGCCTGCACGCACTCGCCGGCTAATTTTTTGTACAGTTTTAGGTAGAGGACAGGGTTTCCCCGTGTTAGCAGGATGGTCCTCGATCTCCTGAACGTCGTGACCGCGCCGTCTCGGCTCCAAAGTTGGCTCGGGATTACAGCGTGAGCCACCGCGCGGCTAAAAACACAGCAATACTTTGCCCACCCTAATATACGAAATGCTATGTGTCGACCTGGTTTTGTTTTTTTTCTTTTTTTTTTTTTTTTTTTTTTTTTTTTTTGAGACGGAGCCTCGCTCTGTCCCCAAGCTGGGAGTGGCAGTGAGCGCGATCCTGGCTCACTGCAAAGCTCGCTCCTGGGTTCCCGCCATTCTCCTGCCTCAGCGTCCGAAGTCGCTGGCACTACAGGCGCCCGCCACCTGCGCCGGCTCATTTTTGTATTTTTAGTAGAGACGGGGTTTCCACATGGTCTCCGATCTCCTGACTTTGTGACCGCCCTCGGCCTCCAAAGTGCTGGATTACACGGCGTGAGCCACCCGCCGCCGCAGGTTTGTTTTTGTTCCAAAACTTGAACGATGATATTAACTAAGCTTCTTTTTACAGTAATTAATGTACACCATAATCTTCTATTTTTTGAACAATCTTCAATTATTCACATTTATTTTAACGATAATTTTCTCATATACTGGGGAACACTCCAACCTTGGGTATCACCCTTGCAAAGGGCCATGCTGAATCCCTGTATTCGTTCAATTTCAGTACATGGTACTCGCCAAAGCAAGCCTAAACTAATCATACTTCATTTTCTTTTTTTTTTTTTTTTTTTTTTTTTTTGAGACGGGTTCGCTCTGTCTCACCAGGCTGGAGTGCAGTGGCGATCCGGCTCACTACAACCTCCGCCTCCCGGTTCAGCGTCTCCTGCTCACGCCTCCCGAGTAGCTGGACTACAGGCATCCGCCGACACTCGACTAATTTTTTTTTTGTAATTTTCGTAGGAGACGCGGTTTCGCCACTCTGCCGGCTGGTCTCGCACTCCACCTTGTGATCCTGCCCGCCGCAGCCCTCCCAAAGCTGCTGGGATTACAGGCGTGAGCCACACGCCCGGTCCAAATATTATCTTTTCCCCTTTCTCACTCACATTTATTATCCTAGGATCAAATTAGGAGACATGACATTAGGATTAAAGGGTATGCAAAATCTAAGGTTTTTGACACATACAATCTATTGCTCTTCAGACTCAATGCCTGAACTAATTTATATGCTCACTAGCAATGCACGAGCATGCCTATTCACTACACTCAACAAGGAGATCCTTTGAGAGTAGGAAAAAATGCCTTTATTTTACTGCTTAATAGTTATTATTTACTATTCTGATAATAGTGTCTTAAATTTGTGACTTTGCTAACAAAATTGAACTTTTTAAATATTCGATGTTCTTGCATTTCTTCTTTGTAAACTGTCTGTTCACAACCTTTGTCTACTTTTCTATTAGGCCGTTCATTTCTTTTTTAACATAGTAATTAAAAAAAACAGGTAGGGCCACATTCCAGTAGTTGGAGAGGCTCAGGCAGGTTGATCACTTGAGCCTAGAAGTTTTGAGACCAGCCTGGGCAACATGGCGAAACCCCAGCTCTACCAAAAAAACATGAGAATTAGCCAGACCGGGTGGCGCACACCTGTAGTCCCAGGCACTCATGGGGCTGAGGTGGGAGGATCACTTAAGCCTGGGAGGTGGAGGCCTCAGTGAGCTGTGATCATACTACGGCACTCCAGCCTGGGCGACAGAGTGAGACCCTGTCTCAACATACGCTACAAAATTAAAAAGGTAAAGAAAAGTATTCAGAGAATACCTGATTCCAACCAACTGGTTACCCTCTTTGGAAACAACTACTGTTACCAGTATATTGTGTATTCTTCTACTAGGGACTATCCCTGAGCATAAGCAACAGACACTTAAAAAAAAAAAAAAAATTCTGTTTCTAAATACAGACAAGGTCTCACTACATTGCCCAGGCTGGTCTTGAATTCCTGGACTCAAGCAATCCTCCTGCCTCGGCTTCCCAAACTGTTGGGATTACCGGTGTGAGCCACCGCACCAGGCCAATAGTTACTTTTATCATAATCCTATCTATTTTTACAAAATCATATTAATAGATGAAACTTCAAAGACACTCCAGTAAAATTTTAGTAGTCACTTAAGAAGCATCATGATAAATATGACTTTCAGAGAAACCAAGAGTTTTCAGAGTAACCTTTTCAGAGAGAAACTTAAGTAACACCGGGGTACTTCGAACATTCCATAACTCCACTTACTTTTCAAAAAAATATTCTGGCAACTTCTCAAACAAGGTTTTGATAATGGCAGGCTAAAAAAGAAGACATAGGGAGTTAGGAGATCATCTCAAAATACATAATAGAAATGTATAATCCCAGCTACTTGGGAGGCTGAGGCACAAGAATCGCTTGAACCTGCGGGAGGCAGAGGTTGCAGTGAGACGAGATTGCACCACTCCACTCCAGCCTGGGTGACAGAGGAGACTCTGACACACACAAACACACACACACACACACAAAAGAAATGCATAATTCTCTTTCCAACCAGAGCTCCTGGAATAAACACTTTGTTACAGTTGATATCTTATTACAAAGATATCCACATGAATATGTCTTCATTTTTAGAATATGCTATTGGAATACAAAGATTTAATTTGTCTTGTGAAAAACTGAAAATGATTATCAAGACAAAGTTAAAATAATCAGATAATCAAAATATTATTAAAAACAATGACAGTTAATCCACGAAATGCAGACTTTAAAAGATTATCAAATAGGTTGCAACGGGAGCTCTGCAGAGGAACAAGGGAGCTCTTAGACTGAAAATAACTAATTACCTTCAAGATTTCCAGTGAAAAGGAAGAGTTTAAGAGTGTGAAAAGATTAACAGTAGGGGAGAAGAGGAAAAATGGAGAACGGGGTGGAGGGAAGTGTTCTGTTCCATATACATTTGTATAACTTGAAATATTTAAATTATATCAATGTATTGTCTATTTAATACATTAAAGGAGAAGAGGAGGAGGAAAAGGACAAAATTAAGATACATAAGCATCTAAAAAGCTAAATGGAGATGATGGAGATACGAATATGATAAAGATTACAAGATACTGGCTGGGCGCGGTGGCTCATGCCTATAATCCCAGCACTTTGGGAGGCCAAGGAGGGCGGATCATGAGGTCAGGAGATCGAGACCACAATGAAACTCCATCTCTACTAAAAATACAAAAACTTAGCCGGGCGCGGTGGTGGGCGCCTGTAGTCCCAGCAACTCGAGAGGCTGAGGCAGAAGAATGGCATGAACCCAGGAGGTGGAGCTTGAAGTGAGCCAAGATCGCTCCACTGCACTCACTGACCTGACAACAGAGTGACGAATCCATCTTCAAAAAAAAAAGAAAAAAAAAAAACAAATTACGCAAGGTATCAGATACACAGGATAGCTTTAAGAACAGGAATCAGATACAGCGAGAGAATTAATAGGACCGCCAGATTGTATTTTAGGAGCTAATAAGCCCAGTTTTTAAAACACAGATATTACCTCCAAACCATCACGCCAACAGGGCTGTGCTAAACGCTGTTACAAACCCAAATTACCCAAATATACCACTACATCTATCCTGCTGTATCCTGCCTATTAACTGTGAGCATACACCACGAAACCTCATCCATCAAATGTTCACAGAAAAAAGTGACAGTGCTTACCTGTAGTATGTTCAATCCCCAGGGAAGCAGTTGATAAGACTCTTAGAATAGATGCCACCCATACTGTTGAAAAAAAAAAAGAAAGATCTGTTTTCCACTTTCCTTTCCTTTGTTTAACGCCTATTTATCATTTTTCTCAATAAAAATTGGTTAAATACATAAATCTTAAAGAGGAAAACTACCCTGTTAGACAAAAGAAACACGCAGAATAAAGCCCAGATGGTCTTGCAAGGGAAGCGGTATGAGATTTTGAGAATTCTGTCAACACAGGTTGCAACACAATTCTAAGAAAACACTGCATTGGTTTAGGCTTACTAACCACAAGCTTTAGAGGGAATTTTACAACGTTAGTTTAAATTCTGGAGGGGAAGACAGCCTACACCAAAATGACATTTCAAACAATTGTGCTCTCCTTCCCCCCGGCCCCCTTGCCGATAGCAGAAACAGACTGAACTTCAGCAAGATTCATGCCTCCGTCTCCACACCTGGCTTCCTCATCCATGCAGACGCTCACAGGCAAACCGCCAAACCAGGCAGTTCCTGCAAACTGTCTTCATCCTCAATGCGTAGGGACTCCAGGCCACTAACAAATTCTTACTATTATCTTTGCACAAGGAGAAGATTTAAAACAATAAAAAGAATAAAATATTTAGTTTTAATATTATTGGCTGTTAAATCATTTTACCCACTCAACTTTAATACCAGTGTCCTTTAAATCCAAATTTCTTAGAGTTATGCTGGCAAAGGCAAAATACCGCAGGGGGAAAAATACATACGTTTGGCGGATTAGGAAAGGGTGGGTCTCCTCAGGCGGGTCTGAAAGAGCTGTCTTGTTTGGAAATGCGTATTTGGTCCAAGCCTATGGCGAGAAAGAAAGAAGAGCTGGTCACCAGCTTTCCGTAAAACCCAAAAGTTTTCCTTCTCTAAAACCAAGTTTCTTGCTTTCTTAGCCTGATGAAACCAATAAAAACATTCACCCTAATTTCAGCAGCAGAACTTTCGTTTTTTTCTCTTTGAGATGGGAGTTTTGGGCTCTGTCACCTAGGCTGGGTGCAGGTGGTCGGTGATCTCGCTCCACTGCAACCTCGCCTCCCAGGCTTCAGGCCCAATTCTCCTGCACTCAGCTCCCAAGTAGCTTGGGACTACAGGGCACGTTTTTTTGTTTTGTGGTTGTTTTGTTTGTCGTATTTTTGGTGCGGAGAAGGCGCTTCGACTGTGGGCTAGCCAGGATGCGGTCTCGCGATTCCTGACTCGATGATCTGCGCGCCCCCCTCGGACACCTCCCAAGTGCGTGCGTGTGTGTTTATTACGATGCCTGTGTATGACACCTCGGGCCAGCCCACAGTCGTGGGGGGTTATATCTAAACCCACTATAAATAGACTCTAGCCTGTTTGCGCTGGCACAGGCTGGACTTCAGCTGCTTAATCCCAGCATTTTGGGCAGGGCCCTGAGGCGGGGCGCGGAGTTGCTTGAGGTCAGGGGCTTTGAGACTATCTGGCCACCATGGGAAAGCACCTGGTCCTGTTACGCTAAAATACAAAAAATTAGCTTGGGCTGTCGTGGGTGGGCCCGGGGCTGTTAGTCCCAGCTACTCAGGAGGCTGCAGCAGGAGAGATGGGCGATGGAAACCCTGCGGGCAGAGCTTTCAGTGAGCCGAGATCACGCCACTGCACTCCAGCCTGGGCGACAGAGCGAGGAGACTCCATCTCAAAAACAAACAAACAAACAAACAAACAGACTTAGCTTTGATAGCAGATAGCCACTAAGTGTTCTAAAAAAGACCTGCCATAACCTTAGCAAGACGGAATAATTTGTTCCCCAAAAACAGAATCTTACATGGCTTTATACATTTTCTTCTGAAATTATTCTGACACTGATATAGCTGCTTTCTGAATATTTATTTTTTCATAACACAAAAGAAATAATACATAATATTTTTTCTAATAAAAGAATGAGAAATGCTTTACTTAACACATAGTAATGAGGACCAAAGACTGTACCATTTTCTTTTTCCTTTTTTTTTGGAAATGGAGTCTTACTCTTGTCGCCCAGGCTGGAGTGCAGTGGTGCGGTCTTGGCTCCCTGCAACCTCTGCCTCCCAGGTTCAAGTAATTCTCCTGACTCAGGCGCCCGAGCAGCTGGGACTACAGGCACACACTGCCACGCCCGGCTAATTTTTTGTATTTTAGTAGAGATGGTGTTCCACCATTTTGCCCAGGCGGGTCTCCTGAGCTCAGGCAATCCGCCTGCCTTGAGCATCCCAAAGTGCTGGGATTATAAGCGTGAGCCACCGTGCCTGGCCTCATTGTATCATTTTCTAAAAAGCAATTTCAACTTTGTCTCAAGATGGATGGCCCTCTCATTTCTAATCTTCATTGCCTCTCTATTTAGAAAACCCATGATTCAGTCCTGAGTTATTTCATTAAAACCACAGAATAAAGTTAGATAAAAATATTACCTAGTTGATTCTGATTCTCTCCCGTTTTAAGAATAATTCCTGATATCTTAAGAAGCTTCACAAAGATGCTGTCATTTTCTTCAACTTCATTAGCAATATGAGATTTCTTTGTCTTTTTGGAAAGTGGTTGCTTCCTGGTTTCTGAAAATAGAAAAATTTAAGAATATGGCAAACAGTAAAGGAAAAATTAAAACTTAAATCCAGGAATAATAATCCTGAGAGGAAAACTGATGCGTTCCTTAAAAATTATACTAGGATTGATGCTGTAGTGAAATAAACTATCTTCAGCAATAGTGGCTTCCAAAACAAACAAACAAACAAATAGAATTATTTTCAACTACTGAGTTTTCATTTGAAGAATTCAAAATGTGCCATTTCTGGCCAGGCAAGGTGGCTCACGTGGTAATCCCAGCAATTTAGGAGGCCGAGGCAGGAAGATCACTTGAGCCAGGAGTTCAAGACTAGCCCAGGCAACAAAGGGAGACCCCCATCTCCACACATACACACACACACTAGTTAGGTGAGGAGACGCCCACCTGTAGTCCCAGCTACTTCAGAGGCTGAGGCAGAAGAATAACTTGAGCCCAGGAGGTTGAAGCTATATAGTGAAGCTATGACAGTACCACTGCACTCCAGCCTGGGTGACAGAGTGAAATCACCATCTCTAAAAAACTAAATTCAAACAAACGAGTGCCTAACAAGAATAACCCATGGAAATGTTTTCCACCCAAATACTAAACTAGCCAGTGTCTCTCAAGCTATTGCCTGCAAACCACTGTAGTGGAATCCCTGGAAAGCTTATTAAAATGCATATTCCCGGCCGGGTGCGGTGGCTCACGCCTGTAATCCCAGCACTTTGGGAGGCCGAGGTGGGTGGATCACGAGGTCAGGAGATCGAGACCATCCTGGCTAAAAAAAATTAGCCGGGCATGGTGGCGGGCGGCTGTAGTCCCAGTCACTCGGGAGGCTGAGCAGGAGAATGTCGTGAACCTGGGAAGTGGAGTCTGCAGTGAGCCAAGATCACGCCACTGCACTCCAGTCTGGGCAACAGAGCAGAACTCCGTCTCAGAAAAAATAAATAAAATAATAAAATAAAATAAAATGCATATTCCCGACCAAGCATGGTGGCTCACGCCTGTAATCCCGCACTTTGGAGGCGAGGCAGGCTGTCACCTGAGGTCACGAGTTCAAGGCCAGCCTGGCTAACGTGGTGAACACCCGTCTCCACTAATACAAAACTAGCTGGGTGTGGTGGTACACACCTGTAATACCAGGCTACTCAGGAGGCTGAAGCAGGAGAATCACTTGAACCTGGAGGCAGAGGGTTGCAGTAAGTCCAGATCATGCACTGCACTCTAGCATGGGCAACAGAGTGGAGACTCTGTCTCAAAAAAAAAAAAAAAAAAGGGCATATTCCACGCCCATATACCAGAGTTACTGAGTCAAAAATCTTGGGAATGGGACCTATAGAGTCTGAATTTTTTACAGTCTTCAGATAATAATCCTGTACACACCAAATTTGAGGCTCAATGATCTGAATAAAGGGTACAGAATGGGAAGTTTCTCCTGTATCAATCTTTGACTACAAAGCTCAGATAGGTTTAATCCCAAGGCTTTCTACCCTAAAAAGAAACAAGAAACAACAAAGCCAAGTTTAAATTTACTCTTCTCCCTTAATGATGCCATTCTGTTTTTCCTCTTCAATTCAATCCTCTCTTTTTTTTTTTGAGACGAGTCTCGCTCTGTTGCCCATGGCTGGAATACGTGGTGGCAATCTTGGGCTCACTGCAAGCTCTGCTCTCCGGGTTCATGCCTTTCCTGGCCTCAGCCTCCTGGTAGCTGGGGACTACAGGCGCCCCACCACCAGCTCGGCTAATTTTTTTATTTGTAGTAGAGATGGAGTTTCACCATGTT